TGCTTTTTCATGTGTGTTGACTATGTCTCATCTATTGATTAACATCTTACGTGTCTTTCTTTCATAAAGTTTATGTTGAGATATGTTAGAGAGTATGATACACGAAAACCATAGAAACGCATCGTGGTATATCGGTGGCATAACCACCCGAAGATCGACAGGACTGGATATTATTTGTAAATTGTTATTACATGCCGTGTACCTCCCCAGCATGATTGCCCTAAAGGATTATCTTATCTTAGCTGATATCTCTATCCCCAAGCCCGACCCCAGGTTTTGCTTTTGAGCCAACCCCTCCTATCTGTTTCTTTTTATAATGACAGTGAAACTGCATGGTAGCTACATCCTTAATAGTTTCGGCATAAAAGTTACTATTTTTTACGTCAGCTATCGTTTATAATGAATCTACGTCTAATTTCAAATTGGGCATTTAAAAAGTGTCCTTTGTAATACAATATCGTCGCACACTAATTTGCATAAATCCATGGTCTGTTCCAAATAAGTCTTCTTGGACTTAGAAAAAAACCGCATTGCTCATTTCTGCACTAATTTCCCCTCAGTAAAGTCCTTTTTCTCCGTTTCCTATCTCTGTACCACTGAGACTGTAGTTAGGCCGAACTTAGTTTAACAGATTATTCACACTTTCACTTATCAACTACATAAATTGTAGAGATAAATGAGAAAATACATTTTTTTTCTATTTCCGACAGTACTATAGTTACCATTTCGCTGCTCCGAGAACAGTACGGAACCGCCGAAGAAGAACCGTATACAACTCTAGATGGGTCATCAAACGTCATCTACTGAGCGATCAGCAACAATCACGTTTGGCTTGTTTATACGGCAACGCTGGAATCTTGGGACTTGGCGAAGATACATTGGTTCTTCTCCATGTAACTGATAGTCGCTTGAGAAATACATTCAACCCACCGTTGCCTTTGGTGTAGGTTCTGTTGTGGTGTGTGAATGTGTCTGTCATGACTTGACTTGGCGACAGTACGTGGGAATGTGACGTATGATCAGTATATCTAGGTAGTACTGGATGGTTAGGTCACGTAAGTTCGACCTTTGGATGGGTGGAAAAACAAACTAGTCGGTTTTGAGGGGTACGTCGTTTAGGTCGACTTGTGCCAGACAATGGGCAGTTAATGTTTTTACAACGACACAGTTAATGCTAAAATGTTCACCGGAAAATAACTGAACAAGGACGCTGTAAAATGCCATTCTTATTTGTGCATTCATTGGGGCCGTATTTTCTATTCTCTACGTGATAAATAATACATATAGATAAAGTTGATAGATGTTATATTTTTCCTTTTTCTTTTGTTGTTCAGTAATATTTTAAGAAGATGTGTATACCCTTGTCATAACACGTCCCTTTCTTTCCACAAATGGCATGCAACCTTTTACAAGATTATTTGAAGTATTTTACCTTTTAACCACCCTCTGAACCAACGTAGTTTTTACTTCTCCAACAATGTTCGATGCCAGTTAATCTTGTAACTTACAGAAGGGCGGTTGATGTTTTCTATTTGAAATTGCATGCTAATGCTTAAGGAAAATGCTACCATTTGAAAATGCTATTTTCAGCTTGTACAACCCGTCATTTTCAATTTACATAATCATGTTACTTTTATGCTGCGGAGATATCCACCCAAATCCTGGGCCAATTTGTAGAGATCTGACAATTGGTAATCAAACTTCAAGCAACAAATTAATCAGCCTATCCTTGACTCTGTTCATAAATACAAACCCTTTCAAATAGATTCAAATTATTCTAAACTCTTATGTAGGCAATTACCATGAACCATTTAATGTATTTTTGTAGACTTTTTGCTATATTATTCATTCCATGCCTTTGTGGAGATAACTGTTTCTGAAACTAATTATTGATGGTATTGTGTTATATTTGATGGAGCGACACTTAAATAAGCCGTTGGCTTGTTGTGTCAATCCATATTCATGTTATGTTTAAACTTCATGAATAAAATATGTATATGTAAATTATATCGTTCACTGTTGAGATTCTTGGTATGCAGTCTTTCCCCTATTCCTCTTGTTCACGATGTACGATTAACCATTTAAACATAGGTATCTTCCACCACGAGACGTAGGAAGAAACTTCTATTGAGAGATTGCTGTCTCCGTGCTCATTCCACCAGAAGTAAACTAATGCGAAGACGAATGACATTCTTTATCATCAGATCCCAGAGATAGCTTTAGAAACAACAGCAAACGGGTTTAGTTTACGAAAGTTTGTAGCTTCAATAATTAGGAATAGAGCTCATGATTCAACGTTTTCAGAACTATTTTCAGTAGTGATTACACTACTTGGTAGACCGCGACTTGGGCGGCTGACTTTGTGTGCTTGCGATTAGGTGCCTGATTCTGAGGGTGTGAGTTCGAATTCCGGATGGGGCTCAACTCAAAAAGTACTAGAATTTTACTAAGAAAATGTAATCCCAAATATAACATTTGTTATATTTGGAGTAGGGTGATATATTTCATTCAACCGTCGCTTCTCTTTATTTCGACATGAGCCAACTTGTATGTGTGACATGATGAAAAGGAGGTTCCCAACCACTACGGAGTGGCAACAAGGACAGTGTCAATTTGCAACGGTTTTCCAAGATACCAACACCAGCGATACAGGAGTGTTATACTCACGCAAATATGACGCAAATATGAGTATTTGTATACCAAATTGAATGGCAGGGTGGGTCGCCCATGACAAGAAATAAGATATATTATACTGAATTTGGAAGTCAACATCACCAGATTGGGGCCATGAGCCACCGCCTTCTGGCATGAGACTGCCGGCAATAACATATATAATATTTAGTGACTTAAAATAGTTCACTTATGACCAGGATCAATTGTTACTATTGTGTACATGTGCAAATATAATCTTGTACACAGGGCTTGGCATGACCAACCGATTGATAGAACCGGACGCCTAACTCCTGTGCCCTCAGCCACCAGACTACCGTCCTCAACCAACACAGGGGCGCAACTCTAGGCATACTGGTTGCCCAATTCGGTCGCCTATTACGACCAGCAACAGGGTGCTGGGGACCTATTCTGTCCCGGTTCCACATGGGGGAAGAACTATTAGCGTTACCCAGCACTCACCACACGAAGATTGCTCGTCACGGGTGCCTGAAGTGAACAAGTTGCAAATCATGCAATGTGAGTAAGTCATTTTCCTTAATCTTCCACTCATGATGTACACGTGTGATTATATTATATATGCAATGACAACGTTAAAGGCGAAGTCAGTCTATCCGTGGTAAACATTGAGATTTTCTCATCATCCCCTGTGAGACATGGGTGATGGAGATTTTAATCAACTGCGTATGTGCATACCTAACCACTTACTTTCTTTTAAACGCCTTATTTGAACCGACGTTTGGCCTATTTCTCAGCTGTTCTTAATTGTCATATTTTAAGTATGCAAGTTTGGGTATTTCGTAAACATCAGACGAGCGAGTTTTTCAAAAAGCCAAGGGAAATATTTGTGTCACTGAATGAATAGGGTCGACGCACGGCGCAATAGCCTTGGTTTAAACAGCAAGCTTGTTTTCTAATACGAGCTCGCCAATTTGTGCATGCCGCTTCTTTCATCATAACAGGCTTCTTATCTAGGTATAGTGCACAACAAGAGATAACCACTTAGCGTGTCTCTATGGTACGTCCCAAAACTGTTTATAATACATGGTTCGTTGAACATGCAAGGTTTATGAGGCCATGAATAAGGTACATGAATTTGGTGTCACATAACTTTAACAATAATGACAATATCTTTCATGTTCACCAGTTAACAAAAGCGCAAAGGTCTTTTCCATAATCTAAAAGGTTTCTGCCAGACTGCACATAGTCAACCTCTCAGGAATGAGTCACTAACAAACAGTAATGGGAGGGGTGCTCGACGAAGGTCACCCACCCCTACCGGATTAAAAGACAACAAACTCATACAATTTCAAGCCAGTTGTGTGCGCGAAAAATAACGACGAGGACACTTAGTACAGCTCACCTGAGGAAATTGCATGGGACAACATGTTTGTTACTGGAACGGTAAATCTGGAAATGCCACCAGCACGTCAAAATCTTCCAAAAAGCTGCCAATTTGTTAAATGGCCTAATCAACGGCATTGTTCCAACAGAGATTAGAAGGTCACCGTATGTGATCAGTGTGTTCGATGCAGGAAAGCTTCTACTTGCCCAGATCTTTGTTTACTGAAAACGCATCAACCAATGGTCCGCGCTATATCTAATCAAAACACCGAAGCTACATTGAGAGACAGACAGACAAACAGTGAATTAAAGTCTCACCTCAATATAAAATAGACACAGTACAAAAAGCAATGAAAGTCGAGCCACTCTTATAAGGAGTTATGAGAGACTAAGCCTCTTTCTATTCTCCATTGTTTCGGTGCTTACCACATATTTACGCTGCCTCATCTAAATGTTTGTTTAATATAATCTACTTCGAAAAAGTTATGTGTGCAACGCGTTATACGCGACAAAACAGGTGTGTCAGGAGCCTGATCACAATACATTTATTATATCTGCAGTATATGTGAATCCACGCCACACACTTACTGAGAACATATAAGGCAGGGTGGTACAACTTACGAATGAGCAGAAGTCCTAACAAGACCTGTAGATGGGATTGAGGTACTAGAGCAAACTTTATGTCAATGAATGATGAGATGAATTGATAAGACTTATGTCCCAATATGCATTCATAACCAGCTGCCCACAAATGGGATCAGAAAATTCATTCTGCTGAATTATTTAACTGCAATAATCGTTATCCTTAACCAAATTCACACAGTGTTGTGTTCATTTCCACCTGATCAAAACACTCAGCGTGTATTTCAATGTTGTGATCATTTCCACCTGATCAAAACACTCAGCGAGTATTTCAGTGTTGTGTTCATTTCCACCTGATCAAAACACTCAGATCAAAAAAACACTCAGCGTGTATTTCAGTGTTGTGTTCATTTCCACCTGATCAAAACACTCAGCGTGTATTTCAATGTTGTGTTCATTTCCACCTGATCAAAACACTCAGCGTGTATTTCAATGTTGTGATCATTTCCACCTGATCAAAACACTCAGCGTGTATTTCAATGTTGTGATCATTTCCACCTGATCAAAACACTCAGCGTGTATTTCAATGTTGTGTTCATTTCCACCTGATCAAAACACTCAGCGTGTATTTCAATGTTGTGTTCATTTCCACTTGATCAAAACACTCAGCGTGTATTTCAAGGTATGTGTGTATGATTCGGTGTTGTTTTCACTACAGATTGTTTCATTGTTTTAGCGCCGTTTATAACCAAGCCATCTGTCGGCGGCCTATTCATAATTGAACCCGGGACAGAGAATCCAGAAATGTCAGGCATGTCTGTACTTATATCGACACATGTTTAATTAACTTACTTTATTTTTCATCCTTCACTGAGCTACACATGGTATTCATTGTTATCTAGTATTTTATATTTCAGGGCATATTCTTTTCAGACAATCCGTGTAAGTGGTATTCAGCATGCTTTCCATTTCTGTTTAATGCATCAATGAATTTATCATTGTGTTGTCGGATTCGACCACGTGGTACCATCGGGGATAGAAATGCAGCTGGCGTCAACATCAGACATAACGTGGACGAGAGGAGGTCGCAGACTAAGCCGAGGGTGAGTTTACGTAAATAATTATTTTAAAGCATAGTATATTAATAAAATTTGATAACATCAAGCATACATTGTTTGATTGATGAGTCTCGTCACAGCATCAACAGGACAGCGATGCTGTTTGTTCCATACATAGAACACTGATTTTCCCCTTAGAATTGAATAGTGGCGATGGGGTAGCGTAGTGGTTCATGCGTTCGCTCGTCACGCCGAAGATACTTTCACCAGGTGGGTACAATGTGTGAAGCCCATTTCTGGTGTCCAAGCCGTCATATAGCTGGAATGTTGCTAAAAGCGGCGTAAAAGCTTATTCACTCACTAGAACTGAATCGTTGCTTACTGAATTATCAACGTTTACCATATGCAAGGGATTGATGCACGGTTGTCTGTATTAAGTGAAAACATCAAGCCACTAGATTATATTATATTTTGGTGAGACAGTACTCAATGTTGTTAGCGTATTTGCACCGGTCTTATATAATGTATGGCTATGAGTACCGATAGTCGAAGATCGATGACTCAGGATATGCGTGATTTCAAATAGAGAAATATATACTGAACAAAAAAGAAACTTTACATTTGGAGAAATGAAGTATATTTTGATAGGGATAGTACAAGGTAGTTAACATGTGCGGATTATTGCCAAGTCTATCCAAACGCATCTGCCCGTTTCAACTGTGGTGAACCACGCGAGGTGCAGCACTCTCTTTTGTGAAAACGCAGCCCTGCGGGATTATGTGACCAAAATGGCATGTGTCTAACCATCAACACGTGCGCTGAATTTGTTGGTGATTAGAAACACACATGTTAACAATGCCAAGACCACGTCAAACCGCTAGCGCGTTGCCCATATTCTTGCCCGAAGTCCTTATGTTGTGCCAATTCTGGCACAGATAAATTGTAATAAACGTCTATGCAGGGCACAAATGCATCTGCGCTGGAACCAGAGAAAATGGAATAGGGTTGTGTTTAACCACGAATCACGTTTTGCCTACTGAAGAGTCGGGCGGATTTCGTGAAGGTAGCCTGATGGTTTGGGGAGTTATCTGCAGGAACGTGCTTTCAAATCTTCTCGTAATTTGTGCGATGATCAATGCAGCGACTTATCGTGATCAGGTCCTTGATGTCGTGCATGGCTGCTGATGGTTCAGGTCTAGGTCTTGGTGTGACGTCACATCCCGCGCCCCAGAGTTTGGGAGATCTGCAACGGTGCTCCTCCAGCTGTTGCACACGGACCCTTAGATTTACTGTCTGACGACTACAGACCAGGGCTCGTACAACTACTGCAAACAGATAATGAACGTACCCAAGGGTCGCTCACGTGAGTGATTGGTGATTCGCGGCTGACTTGTTTTCTATATTAAAATATGTTTTTTACACTTTCCTGCTTAGCAATGAGCGCTTGCATTACCGAGCGAGAGTTTGCAAACATATTTACAGGCAAACACAAACACGAGGACATATGGTGCATGTCGATTTGAGAAAAACATTGGAAATCATTGGAAATCATGAGTAATATATAATCCTCCCTCGCTTATCCGTACACTTGTATTTTTCAGACAATCTCCGGAGAAACTGTTTTTTGATATCTGAATTCCTTGTTAAATGATTAGATTTACCTGCCCTACCCAAATTCTACCGGACATTGGTGAAATGAGTGACAGAAGTCTGATTAATGACGGATAGGCCGATTAATGAATACTGTACAGCGACGTGATGTGACAACCCGCCTGAATATGCGAGTTAGAGAGGTCCAGAGAGGAGGAAAGATGTTTCTTCTACATCATGCTTCCTCCACTACAATGACATGACACACAATGACATTGGATACGGTGCACCACCCGACAACCGTTTAATAGCAATAACAACACACATATTAATACAAATAAATATTATTCATGCGTGCAGCATTTGTACCAATGAATGTTACATATTATTTATGTACATATCACACATTACATGTATTAAGGAACCAACGTAAAATACCAACCATAGATTTATACATTTTATTTTGCTTAAACAGGCAGTGAACCTCCATTATCATATAAACCAGATAATCACTGCGACAAGATCACAACTTCGGCGACAAGCCATCCACATCGGCGGCAAGCCCTCACCTGGCAAGCCATCACCTGGCAACGAGCCGGCCATTTTTACAGTCCAACGAACTTGTTCACATGTCCCCCGCTTGAGTCCATACATGACTGTTTACAATCTAAACGGTATTTGGAGCATGGGATATATCATTGTAACACACTTGTACCCCGGTCTGGTTATTCACTCTAGAGGCACAAGAAGAAGCACCATTATTATATTTATGTCAGTAATTTTCGGTCCAGTAATACAGAGACCGACGGTGAAGGGTTATTCGAATGGGGACAATACTTAATAGTTTCACAATGGAAGGATACGGTTGGCACATTGTGCTATGTAGAGTTGTGTCCCATCTCTCACCTTGCCCTTTGCTTACTTTTCCCCAAGATTAGCATAACTGTGATCCATTTTTGTCAGTGCCACAGTCGTACTGTTCGTTCCCAATCATGGCTTCCTGTAACATGACATTGGCATGAAAGTATAAATACTGTTGGAAAAAAGTTGTACTATCCATTTTCGTTTCAAATCCCTCTGTCATTTCTGAAGGACAAGCGCGAACTTTTAAATACCGTTGTTGGGCTTGTTTTCAGTTTCCTGTGTGTCATTACTACGTACACTTCACCCGTCATGCTGACCCAGATACCACATGTGTTGAGGGACATGACATCGCCCCGTGAGGCAGCCCACGAACACCCACAGTCGTCAGTGTCACAATAATAACCAACAATATTGTAGATATCGATGACGTCGTAGCTACGTTCATTGAGTTATTCACTGTAGGTCTTCTACACTCCTTACAAAACAGCAGTGGCCTTTGTAGTGTATGCAAGTCCTTGAGAGAGTCCCATTTCTGGTGTCCCCCGCCGTGATGTTGCTGGAATATTGCTAAAAGCGGCGTAAAACCAAACTCAGTCAGTCAGTCCTTGAGAGAGTGTCAAATATTGCTTGTCGTCGCAGTTCTTGACGTAATGGTTTGGCTAAACTCTGAAGTCAGTGGAAACTCTGGTGGAGGTCTGCAGCGATTCTCACGTGCAAATCGATTGTCGAACCTGGGTATAGAGGCGAAAGACTAATCGAACTTAACAGATAGTCAGTTCTGAAATCTCAGTCCGTTACATCACCGACCTGTCAGGAGGAGTGAGGGGTCGGACGACAACGACTCCTAACTAACCGCTTTACATTCATGTACTGGCACACATACATTCAAAGATAAACGCAACACCAAGTTCTATACTCACATAGGTTTGCTCTGTCTCACCCCATCTCTCTAAATAACACTTTAACACAATACAGGATAGGCTCGTACCATAAAAGGGAAACTGAGTGACGTGGATTGGCTTCCTAGAATGTAGAGTCGCACTACTCGCTGATTTGTTTAATGTTTTAATGTCAGCTTAATGTGTTCTCTCTTTCACAACTAATGTGTTCGGTCTCTACCTTCTGTAGCCTACAGCCAAACGCCATTCTCTCGAAACTTTCTGTCTCCACAACCTGCCTAGCCGTTATCACTCATGAGCAAAACTGCAAATCTAAATACGGAATCTGATGTAATCCTCTCATGGTTTAGGAATGCATTTTTACCTGATAACATCCTCCGCATGTGGACAACAGCTGCCCACAGCTTGGATAAGTTAAACTTGAGATCAGGTCAAATATGTCAAAAGTTAAACACAATGTATACCATCGAAGCCAAATAGGATCGGTAATTTCTGATAAGAAATGATAACCACTTTCAAACTAAGAGAAAACCGTGGATACTGTGTATTATTATCTTATGCCAAAGAATAAGATAATGGTCCTATGTAACCACTAAGCATACACATCATACATATATGAGATGACAACACAACACTAAATTAAAGTCAATCTTGAATGTGAAAATGCCATTGATGTGGCCAAATATGGCATCACCATTCACAAAAAGTTCACACATCGTTGGTCAGTCATATAGAATAAACTTGCTCTGGTCATCTGGAAAAGTCGTTTTCCGATTGGTTCTGGGTTTGCACCAAACGCTGTTCACTGTGTGCGAGGCCACAACAAAGTCAATGTCTGAACACAGAGCCTGGTCGTATCGCACAGCATAGTTCTTGGCTTCGTCATCAAAGTGAACAGAAATGTTCTGCACACTGTGTGAGTGATCACTGGTGTTTCGCTGAGGATGTACCTTGATGCGTGCGCAACTTGTAGGCGGGGGAACACATGACAGTAGAGGTCTGCAGTGTTGAACGACAATGATGAGCCTCCATGGGCGTTGCGTTGCTCAGTGCCCCAAACTTGTGCGACAGCGTTCGTCAGTAACAGCAATTGTGTAGCCAGAGGATCGATGTGGCGTGGACCAGACGACAGAGGGGGAGGAACTTAAGTGGTCTCCCATAATCAATGTCCAACACTTCAAACGAGTGGTAAACCACTGCGAATTTAGTTAGTGGTATAACTGGAATTGGACACGACATTAATACATGTTGAAATACGATACCCTTAACTTCAGCCTGTGTACAAATCACAGTTGGCAGTAACATCACTCTTGACTGATGTCTGCGTGCAGAATGACAACTTGAGTTGAATAACGCTTTTCCGGTACCTATACAACAGGTCATTAATAAGTACGAATACAACGGCGTATAAACAATAGACTGTTTCTATAATCGTATAATAGTATATGAGCTTACAATATTCAGTAAGTGCTTTGCAGTTTAGAACACAAAATATGAACAACATAGATAAATATGTGGACTGAGAGTATACATTGAAACACGGATAAGAATCTTTGAGTATTAAGATATGACTGACCATTCTCTTTGTGATTCGGTAATTATGAAGGAGGGAAAAGCATGATGATATTTAATGTTAAATTATTTAACAAAGTATTATTATAGCTTTGAAACGTGGGGTATTTATCGGATATG